CATGATGTATTTCCTCCTTCTGGTGCAGGCGGGTAAAAATGAACATACATCAGCTTTTAAGACAACTATACGAGTAAATTCTCAATCCAAGACTGGCAACACTAAAAAAATGACGCGTTGATTTTGTAAATTAAATCAATTTATTAGTTTTGTTTTCCTAAATTACTATTAGTTTTGAGTTACTTAGCGATGGTAGGAGATTTTGATAGTTGTTTGTAAACGTTCTTTATAATTTCTGCAGATTTTGATCGCACAACTTGTCATTTTCACCAAAATAATTTACCTCTAAAAATGAGCCGTGCGTGCGTATCTCTTGGCGTTAAAATTGACAGTGAGGAGCGGGGATTGCTTTAGAGGCTAACAGTTAGCTGATATTTTATTCGACGCTTTTGAGCCGCCGTTACTCTATCTAGAGAGTAAATAATCTAAGTCTACATAATATAAACTAGTGACATGCCACAAAGTGCGTAGCAAAATTGTGCGCATAGGTTGTGCGGCATGATAACGCACATACAACAGGCACAGGGAGCAGAGACGAAGCGAGGAGGTATGAATATGATGCGGTGCGAAGCTGGATAGTTTGTTGAGTGCGCATAGCGCAAACATTTTCAAAACGGCGTCTCGGCTTATGATCCGCTCTCCGTGACAGTTTTTAGTCTTCTGCGGATTGTAACCCATAATCCCAGATCGACAGTGATGTAGTCTGCTAAAATACATTAATGGACAAATTTAGAGGATCGCAAAAAATTTAATGTTTAATTTCTCCTGTTGTAAATATCGTGTTATATTATAATTATGCACTGGCCACAAACATTAGTAAATGCTATTAAAAAAAGAGACTGATTTTATGTACGAGGACTGCACTAAAAGTATCGGGAATGGAATATTTCCACTGTTCCTGTCATATTAAAATCTTTTTAATTGAAAAGTCCTTAGTTTTAAATAATCGAATACCATTTATTTATTTAATTATTAAAAGATTCTCGGTCTTGCCACAAGGTTTTATTTATTAACTTGTTTAGTCGTTGAGAAAATGGAATTGACTCGAGAAAATTCAAGAGCGATGATTTATCATGACTTTCGAAGTGGTTTAACACAAAAACAGTGTGTTGACCGGATAATTTCTGCATTTGGTGATGAAGCCCCATCCAAAACCACAACTTATCGCTGGTTTGCTGAATTTCAATGTGGACGTGTCAAGCTCAGTGATGCTCCCCGTCAAGGTCGTCCAAAGCCTGCAGTCACCCAAGAAAACATTGATGCTGTGCGTAAGCTGATTGAGAAAGATCGACATGTGACATACCAAGAAATTCAGGCAACTTTAGACATTGGCATGAGTCAAATACAAATAATCTTGCATGAACAATTAGGTGTAAAAAAGTTGTTTTCCCGATGGATACCGCATTCGCTCTGTGAAGAGCAAAAAGCGGCTCGCGTTACTTGGTGCGTCAGAACTCTCGAAAGATTCCACGCAGGATCCTCAAATGCTGTATACAACATCGTATCAGGTGACGAATCCTGGATATACGCGTACGAACCCGAAATAAAAACCAGTCACGAGTTTGGGTGTTGGAAAATGAGTTAAAGCCAACAAAAATTGTTCGTTCACGGAGTGTTGCAAAAAAAATGGTGGCCACGTTTGTCTCCAAAACGGCCATGTTACGACTATTCCTCTTGAGGGACAAAGAACGGTTAATGCAGAATGGTATGCTAGCATTTGTTTGCCACAGGTCGTTTCTGAATTCCGTAAAGAGAACTGCAACCGCCGCATCATCCTCCATCACGACAATGCGAGTTCTCACACCGCACACAGAACAAAAGAGTTTTTAGAGCAAGAAAACATAGAATTATTAGACCATCCGCCGTACAGCCCCGACCTAAGCCCTAATGATTTCTATACTTTCCCTAAAATAAAGAATAAATTGCGTGGACAGAGATTTTCATCACCTGAAGCTGTGGACGCCTACAAAACGGCCATTTTGGAGACCCCAACTTCCGAATGGAATGGTTGCTTCAATGATTGGTTCCATCGTATGGAAAAATGTGTCAAATTTCGCGGAGAATACTTCGAAAAGCAATAAATACATTTTTAAATAGTCATGTTGTGTCACTTCCTTGATTCCCGAAATTTTCAGTGCCGCCCTCGTAATTATTGAGGTTTTGTTTAAACTTCTGCCTTGACTGCCTTATTTTCATTGTGTTAAGTGTGAATTATTACTGCAAATAAACTGAAAATGCCATATCTAAACGCCACTCAAGTTGCTAGGGCTGTTACTTCAATTGAAACTGGGCACACCTGCAAATATGTGACACAAACATTACGAGTATCAAAATCTTTTACGTGGTAGAGCCTTGTTGCAACCATTTTATGGTTGTAGCGAGAATAGGTCGGTTAGAGCGGGTAAGGCGTAGTCCGTCCTCTCACAGAATACCATTGTAAAATCGCAGCTCAATGCTGCTGTGATTCTTATGGTGAATTTAGAGAACCGGAGACCCTTTTTACTGATAAGGAGACATTCTATCTTAGTCCTCAGGGATGACTACACATCTGCATTTTGATTCTTAATCGAGGATAAATGTACATGTCTTTGGACCACAACATCCACTTACCATCAGGTGAACTGTGTTCGTTCGGCATCATTTTTCTATTAAAAAAATCTGTGGTACAGCGAGTTGTTAAGAGGTATCGACACAGACCAGACAGTATACGAGACTCGAAGTGCAGGGATGTAAACGTAAAACTGTGGCCAGAGATGACCGATTCATCGTCACCAGGGTGCTTAGAAAACGGACCTTAAATTCTTCTGAGGTATAAACGAAGCTCCAAGAAGTTGGAATAGTACAGTAAGGGTAAGCCCAAAAACTGTGAGATAAAGAATGTTGAAAAGACGAGGCTTGGAGTCAAGTTCTATTCACAGATGAATCCAGATGATGAAAGAATTAATTTGGTTAATTAACGTTTACAATTTTAAATTAATGAATAATAAGCAAAATCCAAATTAATAAACTTAATTGTCTAAAATATCCATGTTTCGTTTTATACACTTTGCGTTTCTCTAAATTTGTCCATACATGTCGGTGGTTTCTTTCCCTTTACCCCCTAACCCTCGGCTGTTTGGTCTACTGTTTAGGGTTTCCATCTGGTTGGACTTTTATTTATTTATGTATTATTTATTTGATTAGTTTACTTTATTAAATGTATATTTATTTACTTATTTTTATTAGGAAACTTAAATGTCCTCCAGACCGCCGCGGTGACCAGTATGAATGGAGACTAGCCATCTGCGCGGGATGGAATAATAGTGCCCAAGTGTATGCGCAAGACAGGTGCACTACATAGTCCGACTGGACGGTAATCGGACACGACCGAGAAAAATCGGGCGCAAGACCTACGACTTTACGTGCTTATTGAGACAGGGGGTGAAAACACTGCTAACTTCTAAACTGTAAATTTTGTAATATTATTCTTCTTCTAAACTGTAAATTTTGTAATATTATTCTTCTTCTTAACTGTAAATTTTGGATTCGAACCCAGGACCTCATGATCAGCAACCGCGTTAACGACCACTAGACCAACGAGGGATTCAGTACTACTTTATATTTTCAGTGGGTGTAGTACGCGTCAACTATGACAGATATTTCCCCTATAAGTACAGTCTGAACTGTATAGAATCAGTATAATTTCATTTTTACCCTCAGAGGGAACAACTCATCTGTAGCCTTCTTTGTTTAATGTTAGCTGTAAGTGTCTATGGACTGGAGTAGCCACTTACCATCTGTCTACTAATAGTTAACTATATACTTACGATGGAGTGCTTCATTTATCACTTTATTTTTATAGAAATATTACATACATCTATACAAATAAATAAAATTGAAGTGTCTGTTTGTAATGTCAAAATTACAGTTTTTTACTAAATGCATATGAAAGTAAATACGATACCTATAACTAAAATACAATTTTTAAAATTTTTGTCTGTCTGTTTGTCTGTTTGTTCCGGGTAATCTCCGAAACGGCTGGACCGATTTTGACGGGACTTTCACTAGCAGATAGCTGATTTCATAAGGTGTAACATAGGCTACTTTTATTTTAGAAAAATAATCAGGGTTCCGCGCAGAAACATAAAAACCCTAACACGCGAACGAAGTCGCGGGGAACAGCTAGTTTTAAATAAAAAAGCACACTCATATTTATCTGTTTATTTCAAACACAATATTGAAAGACTCGACAGTTAATCGGACCCAAAATGCATTTGGAAACCCGCTAAAATTGTGTAGATTTCCAAACCATTACGAAGTTAGTTCAGATAACATTAAACAAAACATAAAAATGTTACTAACAGCGATTCACTTATAAAGTTTACCTAGAATCTATTCATAATACTCAGATTCCGTAGCGCTCATGTTGCATATTCCACACTGGTTTCCATCACAGTTTTTATTCCCTATTGTTCTAGAATATCTGACAACAGAAATGTTAGTTCTGGCATTTATTTTCTAGCAAGTGTAAACTGCATGATTTCCTGACTATCTATAATTATTTTTATAAAGGCCATACACTGCCTTGTGCTTGCTTAACATACCTTACTTGAAAAGATTTGTGCTGTAATCTTTTCACTTGCATACATCATCTTGCATTGTTCCAGGCGACCTTTGTACAAACTGACATAACAAGGTAATATTAAAACAGCACAAGAAACTGATTAGCAGTTTAATAACAACAGTTCACTTAACACAAATATATGTCGTTATTTAAAATATTAATAAGTACTAAAATCAAAAATTAAACACAATACGTAATTATGTTTAATTTTTGATTATGTAACATTGTAAATATCCAATTTATTTTATAAATGCAAAAGGAAATATTGTGAAACAATAAAAAATACTGACTTAAAAAATGTGGGATTCAATACATAATTACATTTAAATTTGTTAACTGTTATGCTAAAGTGTACTGTTATTATTAACGCTTTCGACCTCAACACTTATACTTTACATTAATCTTGCATTTCCTCAGGAAGTTCATGAGGATTCAGGATTCCTGGTACAGATAGTTGTACCCTTCGCTTTTCTTCTTGCGCTTGACGAAGAGCGAATAGACGCTCCTCCAAATACAAGTCACTGTCATCTTCACCAGTGTATTCCTGCAAGATTTGAAATTTATATTAAAATCAAAATATTATAATATTAGACACTGGATCAAAATAATAAGATTTAGATGTAATATACAAAGTTTCACTATCTGCATGGTGTCGTTGAAGTCTTAGTATTAGAAAACTCTCATGACTTCCAAAAGATGGAAGAATGGGTATGGTGATATCCATTAAGCCAAATAAAAATTACGCGAAATGACAACTTGTACAGTGATAACTCAAATTTATAAAACTACAGTACATAACATAATAATGACTAATAATAAACTTCCTGTAATGGTAGTTTTTCATTAGTTTATTATTGTTATGGATTTTTATAATAATATTTACAGTAATATTTATTAAAAACTAGCTGGTACACAGCGCGTTGCTGCCAAAGAAAAATAATTGTCGAAATATCGTGTTAAATTTGGAAGAATTATATTGTTTAATTAGGAATGATTAATACATTCATTGAAGTTGAGTGATGTTTAACTTTCAAATAAATTTGTTGGTACGATACGCGCGCCACCTATTGTAAGTTAATTGTACTATGCCTATAACCTTCTCACATGTGCAAGCAATAAGTTGACAAGTTTTAGCACAATGTGATGAACAGTATGGCAGCACATAAATACGAACAAACAAAAATAAATTTTTATATATTAGATAATTTTAATAAAAAAATTATTGGGTAAAAGTTATAATATTGAATGCAGTGAATCTGTTCAAAAACTGTTTAACACTAAAGTAGTGCGCGCCCTTTGAAATTTACCGCGATTCACGTGACGCCAATTATTAAAGGAAACAGCCTCTATATAAAAGGAAAGCACGTCGCCATCGACGCGTAAACCTGTCTTATGAGATTGTCTAGAGATGACTTTAATGATGGAGTTTATTTATTCTTTAAAAAATAGCTGATAATTTTATGTTGAAAAATATTAGTTAATTTTTATTTGGCCTGACATAACAATTGATTAGCGCTTACTTAATAAACCTCAAGTTATTTTTTCCTTTAAGTGCCTTATGAAATAACGATACTGTCGTCATCGACTGTCTGCAGGTTTAAGCTGTAGTCAAAATCTCCCAAAGACAACACAATATAACACATCAGCATATTGTGAATAATTTTAGAGGATAATTTCTTGCTAGTTAACACTGACAAAAGAAGAACTGTAAAAGCCCATAACAAAAAAAAAGTTGATATTGCATAACAAATGCATGTGTTTTTCTTCAACAGAAACCAATAACATCACTCTAATTGAAAAAAAAATCATTATATTTTCATAATTGATATATTATGAAAATATAATGATTTTTTTTTCAATTAGAGTGATGTTATTGGTTTCTGTTGAAGTAATCTATCATAAGTGATGACAGATGGAAAACAAAACAGATGGGCAGCAGAATCTTTCTGATAACAAATGGTGGTGGATAATGGGTCAAACAGTAAATTTTATTAGTAAATTATATTATTGATGTTATAATATGTTTAATAAGTTTACTGGATGATCCAAAAAAAATACTAAACATATTAAAGTACAGTTGAGATAATCAATGCACTTACATGAAAGAAGTAAAAACTAACTAACACTAACCAATAATTTATTTGACTAATACCTTGGCATTTAAAGTTCAAATTGTTTGCCTTATTCGAAATTAACACAGAGTACAGACATAACCGCTTATTATTTCAGTCTATATTGTTACTCCTATGGGTTAAAATGTCATCTTTCAACTTTTGATAATATAAAAAATATTGTTAACATTACAAAAGATATTTTCGTGAATAGTGTAGAGAACGAAATTGAATTGCAACAAAGTTAACTAATATTTTATAGAGATAGGCATAATAAGACAAATTAATGTTATAATATGTATGCAAATATATATTATTGTTCTTTATGCTTAGATTTGTAGAGCCTAAATTAGGATGTAATATAAAATTGATGGACTCTTCGACTCTCATGGTGACCTAAACATGATGCAAAAGTAAAGTTTCAACCAATACATATACATCTCACTCCTAAGAACAGGTCTCCTCTCATTTATGAGGGTTTGCTGGCAACATGTGTTCAACACGCTGCTACTGAACTAAACATGTTGGTAGATTTTTGTCTTTAAAATATATTTTTTTTTATTTCTCAGACCTGCAGGCCAATGATTGAGTGGATTGACTTTATGTATGTTTTTGAAAATTTGCAGGAGTTTTAATTTGAATTAAATAGTGACCATTAAAATTTTAATACTAGAAATAGAAATAACCTTGTTTTGTGGAATCTACCCATAAGAAAAAAGTACAAATGCTGTCTGCTTATAATGGTCTTAATAATGTAACAGATCTCATGGTAACAAAGTTTTTTATTATTTCAAGCTGTTATCAGGAAGATGATGCCACCCATCTTCTGTTTTGATTTCCCTCCATTGCCTCTTATGACACCCACAGGATGATATGACGTAGTGAATATTCTTACACCGCTATTACACCATTTGAATGGTTTGATGTTCTATTATAAGTACAGAATTTTATATTTAAAATTAAAAATACTCACTCTTATCTGAACTAAGAAATCTCTTAAGTGATCTTTGAAAGCTGGAATATCTTGGTCCAAATTAAACAATCCTTGTACAGTTATTTTCACTTGATTGTCAGACAAATGAGGGAATGCAGTTTTCAATAGATTTGCCACATATTCCTGAAAAAATATAAGGAATAAATTTAAAAAAAATTACTTTGTAAAAAAACTAACATAGATACATATATATGTTTTTATACTGTTTCATTATGTAATGGGGCCCTGTTATTTTAATATATTAAACATAATAATAAATACAATAAACACCTGCAGCACCAGTAGCACCCAGCCATCTACTTGAAATCCTATAATTAATAAAATTAAATCCCAACTCAAATATAGAACAGGAAGACTTCAAGATATTATAAGTTCATACTGGGTAGATCAGAACAAAAATTAATAATTTTAATCTGGAGGTAGCCGTGGTTAACTATGACATTGGGACGTGGGAAGTAAGTTTACATGATAAAATTCGTAAAAACTAGTTTTAATCAGACAAATTTCGATGAGGGGATTATTAAAGCACCTTTCCCGTTAAGGGAGTGGGATGCTCACGATACATGGGAAGTTACAGTTAAGTTATAAATAGTGTGCCTCTACACATAGTGGGGATTTTTTTTGGGACTTATATATAGAGCTATAAATGTTTACACTACTTTCTGTAATGTACTACTGCTGCTATTGGACAGTATGTGTCCTTTGCGCTGTCTGTTGAATCAGCTTTTAGCTCACTTTCAAGTCGTTATAAGGCTCTATCACAGTGTTTTATTAAACTGTTGATAGGGATATAGTGGTGTAGTTATCCTTTATAACTAACAATTTGCACTTAGTTGCCCCTTCTGAGGGGAAATCAAAAACCTAACAAATTTTTTAACCCAGTGATATCTAGTTTTTGCTTTAAGTTGCCAACTATTAGTTTCAAAAAGACACCTATCATTCAAAAATGTTATTTAACCAACACACCAAAACCTAAGAAAGTGTATACTACAATATTCAATATTATGAAATGAAAATTGTTTCCATTAATAAGAAATGTTAGTTACCTGTATGTACAAAACATTGTCAGGAGTAGGGCCTAGTGGAACTGTAACTCTACCAGCTTCCACTAATGAGAATATATATGCCAAAATAGTGGCATGCATTGTAAGCCCAGCACCATGTGATGTGTCTGTAACAACACTAAACACATGCTCTAATATATCACATAAGTAAGTCTGGTAGAAACTTTGTGCCGCCTGTGAATTTTGTTCAACATTTTGAAGTAATTTAAACAATATCTGAAGGCCCGTATCAGCAACATTCCTCATTGTATGTTTAAATGCCCATATTATGGAATCCAGAACCAATTTAAATTGTGCTGGAGGTATACTCAGGAATGCTTTGAAACAATGAGTATTAACTGCTTGCAGTAACAAGAAGAACTCTGTCCTATGCTCTGGGTACTCTTCAAAGTCCTTGTTGATCATCTCAAGAGTACATTCAAAGACTGCATCAAAAATTTTTGGTACTTCAGATGTAATATGACCTCCAAGTTTGTACACAATAGCAGCCATACATGATAGTACCTCAGGTTCTCTTGCCTCTGGCACTGCTGTTCTTTGATAGTCTAGAAGTACAGCATCGAGGAGAGGAGGAATAAAATTTTCCAACACCATGCTATTATCTGTAGATCGTGAGACCCAACTTGCAATTAATTTTAAAGTTTCTTTTTTAATTATTCTCATATTCTTGATTAGTGGTTGTTTGGTTACAGCAACTCCATTTAAGGTAATGGCTTGACTGATATTTTCAGACATAACTTTATACACATTAAGCATGTCTAAATAGATTCTTCCAAGTTGTACAACATAAGGGTGCCCCAAAGCACGACAAGCACGAACATTTATTTTAAGAATACTAACAAGCTGTTTAACAGCTTCAGCATCTTTGAGAATATCAACATTATGTGATGCTTGAGATATAATATCATCCCAAACCTGATTGGGAAGTACCATGTATCTCTCAATAAGTTGCTCCTGGGCTACTTGGTCTACCTGAGCACTTATCATATATCCAACAGCTTCATAAACTGTCTGTACTTGTAGTGGCAACAAATCACAAATAATGGAATTGATTGTACTTAATATTTCTTCAATAAATGGACATGCTTCGCCCACTTGAGTGGTAACAAAATGACGACGACATTTTAATGCTATTTTAATGAAAGTATCACAAGCCATATCTTGAACACCATCATGAGTCTCGTGCATAAATTCAAAAAGTTTATTTACAACAGTTTTTAAAAATTTCCAATGGGCCCTTAAAAAACGTGGATATTGTCCTACAACATACATAATGTTACTTGCAATAATGGCTTTGTTGTCTTTACCCTTTTTCTGTTCACATAAGCCCAACAATTCTTTAATAACAACAACTAAGAACCGTTTTTCATCCTCCTCCAGCATAGCTCCAGAAATTGAACCAATAGCCCAGCAAAGTGTATTCAGATTCTTCCATGACCACTCAGCTCCATTAACTTGATTCTGCAGTTTTTCTGTCATAATACGTTCCGTATCCTGGTAATCTAAATGAGTGAGGTAAACTAATGTTTCCCTCATATTTTTGTACAAATTGATTGAATCAGTATCTTTCATAAATTCTCTGACTACTTCTCCATTTTCATTTTCCACGACCAGCACTTCCTCTGGTCTTGCCATTCGAGAAATCATTATGTACCGTACACTACTGAGTACATCCGAATATAAAGCTTTCCTACCCACATTTTTTCCAATACCATACAAACCAGCGGAATGAGAGCATGGAGCAATTTTGTACAAATCAGCAGCCAATGCATTCCAAAACTCCAAGCAAATTTTAAATATTTCAACTTCTTCTACTTCCGATATTAAAACAAGATAGCGAAGGGCATTCATTAGAGTGTTATTTAATCCTCTTCTTTCTATAAGCTGCCCATGTTCTTTTAAATAAGTACATAAGAATAAAGCCAAATTTTGTATGAAAACTTGTTCCTGATCTCTACCAGCAGCATAAGCTTCACGTATGTTAGTGGTGAGTGGCAGCATAGCTTCAAGTTGCTCCATTGTTTGCACTAGTAAAGCCACAAATTGTTCTTCATAATTACTTACAGTTACACCAGCAATCTCAGTCAAACAGCTCAATGTAACATTACGGAACATAGGCACATTCAGAAATTTAAAAATTAGAGTGCTTATCAATTTCATTTCAAATATGTAGCCAAGGGGGATCCAATTTAAGAATCTTAACAGAGTATGGAGGGTAGCATCAACCAATGGTGCATTTTGTGAATTTTCAAGAACAAACTGACAAAGTTGAAAAATTTGGCTGAACTCTGAACACATAGTGTCTTTAAGATGTTTTGCTTTAGTTTGTGTTAATTGCCCAGTGCTGAACACAAACACTTCTTCACTGAGCAATTTTAATATGACCATGTTGTTTTGACACAGGCTTTCGTTTGTTTTAGACGCTCCAACAATATCACTTATAAAGGTCTCCCAGTTATGTGGCCATTCCCTTTTTAACACTTGTATCAGTATCATGTTGAGTTTTTTTAAATAAACTTTATTATTTTCCATTGTTATTGGATCCGAGGAGTTTTTAATTATCAAACCAACAATATACTTCTTTATACCTTCACATTGATTTCTTGGTAAAACTTTCCATCGTGTTTGTATGACTTGTTCCAAAATTTGTAAGGCATAGTATTTGGTTTCTTGATTCTGGGAATATTCCAGTATTGTATCAACTCGAGTCCAAGCATCTGGATGTTCTTTGTGTGCAGTAAGAATGTCTTGCGCTATACGTTGTTGCTCCCCTACTGAAGAATACAAGCATCCGACGATATTGTCGAGCAAATTGATATCCAATTTTTGGTTGAAGTCCAAGAGCTTAGAAGCTTGTTGCTCTAAAGTTGCCATTTCAATATATATATTAATTAATATTTAATTCCTCTTATTTTAAATCAAATAAAGATTGACTCATTCAAATTCATTCCAAATTTCATGACACGCTGAAAGAAAAAAAAGTTCACTATTAGAAAGGGCAAAACAAGCTCTAACCTCTAAATAGTATACTTGCGGTTCATAAGTAATACCTGTAATATGATGGAGCAAAATAAAAGATAGATGATAAATCAACTATTCCGCGGCATAATTTATTTTCATTTTGAGAAATGCATTAATGCAATAACTGAGCACACACCCCGTACGATTATCAATGACGTTATTTGGTGAAATGAACAATATTTTGTGTTTTTATCAAGAACGCAAAATATGTCATATATTATAACAATATGACATATTTTTTAAAATATATTTCCTATAACTTACCCTCAATTGTATTTTGCGGCGTAATATATCAACTGCACTTCCATACACACTAATCCGTTGTTTTCGATTTTCGTGAAGCTTGAAAAGCTAACATACATGTCGTCGTTTATCACAGACTAATTTCCCAGTGTAAATGCGTATTATCTATGGACTAACTAGAGTAGAGATAAAGAGACGATTTGTCGATCTTGCTCTTTGGAACAAGATGAGAAAGTATGTAAGACAGCCAGACGACAGAGTATTTTATGTAAAGGTATCTAAAACTCTATATTAATTGCATTCCAAGAGTTACATATAATTTAAAAAACACATAAAATGCTAGTACTCTGAGCCTAAAGATGACAATACAGACATCATTTGTATAAACGTTGTCTTTGGCTGAGAATGGTTTTCATAGCATGTTATTAGCTTATGCGCAGCATAGACTTTCCATGTAGACTTTGCTACAACACAAGATATCCACCAAATATTCAACTAAGACTAAGTATCATAAAGATCAAACATGCAGTGACACCATCCACGTGGAAAAAAATACACATTTAATAAAAGCTTTTAGAAAAATTTACTTCGCAAACATCCGCGTTATAAAATAAAATGATGTGTCTTACCTAGTATGACGAGTACTTGGTGCTATATATATATAATATTGGTGCTATATTATATAATGGATTTCCGCAAAGTAACGCCTGATTCTATTAATTATACACATTTAAGTTTAAACATATGAACAAGGAAGAAGCAAAACTAATTCTGCGTATGCGATTTTTGCGATGGTGAGGATTGTTTTCCCTAAGAACCCAATTACTCGGATAGAGTATTTGTAAGTCTATGGCAAGCCTAGTATCCTCTTTTAAAAACCACTGAACCATAGGCCCTCCCTACCCCAGCCTACGAATTTGGAGTATATATAAAATAAAAATACTGACAGACGTATTTTAAATTACACCCATGTAGTTTATAAATAAAAAATAGGTAAAAATTGTACACCTTATAAGATCGATATAACTTCAAATAATTATAATTGGGTGCTTTTTGGAATATGAAAAATTGCACCCTGCTTGTATATAATTGCACCATCGTTCAAAATTCATAAAATGCAATATTAAGTGCAAATATAAAACTTTTTAGCGGAAATTTCAAACCTTTGTATCCTGTACCTTTTATTCTGTAACTTAAAGGGCGCCAAGCTACTTTACGAACATCAAAACATGACATTTAATTGCCCCCATCCCCCTAACTGGCCTATGAATTTGGAGTATATATAAAAAATATGACAAACATATTTTAAAAAGAACATCTCAAAATATTAAATATTTAAACAGCACCTATGTAGTTTATAAAAAAAAACGTGTGCAGGTCGCACGTGGTAGAAGTGAAACCTTCAGAAAACTAAACTTCGAGAGAATGCTACGAATGCAGAATATCAGATTCAGAAGTAGGATAATTGTAGGGTTTATTTATTATAATATTGTTATCAAGCTTAAAATGATTTTAATTTTATTTTACATAAAAGTTAAAAGTTATAGTTATAGCCTATATACGTCTCACTGCTGGGCACAGGCCTCCCCTCATTTCTGGGAGGGTTTTAGGGCGAAGAAGTGTCCGCCACCCTACCCCAATGCGTGTTGACAAACTTCATATGTCTTCGAAATTTTTTTTCTTATTTCTCGGACTTGCGAGTTTCTTCACGATGTTTTCCTTCACCGCCGAGCACGTGGTAAATAAGCACTTGAAATTGCAATTAACAATTACTCCTTCAGTTAGCTCTCTATACTGAATTTTATGAGAAATACATTTTTTAACGTGGGGATTGAGTAAAATGCCGATGAGGATAAGAAATCAATGTATTTTATACACAACAATTTGTAATTATATCTCTACAATTATTACGTACAAAAATATGTATAAAGAAGATATAAAATGAAAAACGCACTATTGTACTAGTTATTAATTAAGTAAAAAATAAATGACGACTTATTGCAATCCGCAGACAAACGCTAAGCGTGTGTGGCTTAGCGTTTGGCTGCGGCATTGCAGGACCGAGGCTTCATTCCCGCACTGAACAACTGTTGCTATGCTGCAAAATAAATAATCTGCGTCTGGATGCTAAAAATATTTTTAACCAGGTAATTACAAATAACTTTGAGTTTAATTATATAATCGAATTCTTATCAAAATGTGACTTTAGAGGGATATTATCTTTTGCTACATGTAAATGAAATCTAATTAACAAACACATAATTGTGGAAGTTTAAATTAAGTAAACTGATGAAATAACAGAATCTTTTCTATTGGTGCATGTGCCAGCTATTTTACCCATTGCTTGCATCTGAAACAATAATATAAATAAAATCCTATTTTTATTGAACAAATAGAATGTTAGCAGTCATAAATGATAATGTAGTTTCTAAGTATAGTTTGTTTCGGATTGCCATTTTTTTTATAGGATAAGGGTGACAAACGAGCACACAGTCCACCTGATGGTAAGTGGTTGCTGTGGCCCATAGACATCTACATCTATCTTCGATTAAGAATCAAAATGCAGATGCGTTGTCACCCGTGAGGACTAAGATGGAATGCCTCGTTTCCAGTAAAAAGGGTCTCCGGTTCTCTACACTCACCAAACGAAACACAGCAGCGTTAAGCTGCTATTTTACGCTGGTTTTCTCTGAGAGCGTGGTCCTTCCCCGGTCGAGCCGACCCATTCGTGCTAACCATAATATAGCTGCAGCATGGCTCTACCACGTATAAAACTATCCCATCGAACTATCAGATTTAGGAAAAAGTGTGTTTGTATTTGTGCACGTACACTATAAAAACCTGTCCTTCGTAGATGGCTAGTCCAAAAATGTACTCGCGTTAAATATCATATTACAATTAAAGATGAAATCACCACATAACTTTCATCAGTAACAGTAGTAGAGCCACGCGGCAGCTTTTGCTGTCGCATGGGTGGGCCGGCTCGAACCGGGGTGGTAGCACGAAATCACAGAATACCAGCGTGAAGTAGAGGTTTAGCCTCTGCGTTGCGCTTGGTGAGTGCAAGTGGCCGGAGGCACAAATCCCTTTTTCAATTTTAATCGAGACTCAGGTGTCCTCTCCGGCTGATACTTCATATCTCTCCTACCCGGGGTACAAATAAGAACACTCCTTTGTGCCCCGGGCTGGAGTTTGCGTATACATCAGAGAGGACATCTGTTTTCGACGCCTTGGCTGTCTTGAAGGTACGGACCTGTCCATTCTATGGCTGCGTGTGGACAGCCACGACCATCCCCGCGCCTACGGGTGCCTCTATAGGTCCCATAGCGGTAATGCCGACACAGATCGACTCAACGGCCGCGTCTAAATGGCTGCAGACTCCGTGCTACAACAGGTCTTTTTTTACATCTTACCCTTGGGCGGGTTTGCTTCTCGCCGGAAGATTCCAGCGTTTTTGCCGATTCTACTGCTGATGTGGTACTTCAGGATATGGAACTTTTTATTCCATCCTCTGTGGTGCCCGTCAGAGGCAGATCGCAGTCATGGTTTGGTCGCTCCTGTAAAATAGTATCACGATATAAGCAGGAGTTCTACCGGGCCTGGGCTTACGCATCAACGTCTCGAGATGTAAACACCAGCGCACTTAAAAAGAAGTATAATTCCGCTTCCAAGTCCTTCAAAAGCATCATTGCCAAGGTAAGGTCTAAGCACATCGGCAGAATTGGCGAGAAGCTAGTTCGCCTTCCTTCGGGAACCCGTGCATTCTGGTCTCTCGCCAAGGCTGTCCAAGGGAGCTTCTGTCAGCCATCTCTTCCATCTCTACACAGAGAGGACGATTCACTGGCCCATGCCGCAAAGGACAAAGCCGATCTGTTGAGCTCTCTCTTTGCGTCCAACTCGACTCTAGATGACCGACGTCGACCATCCCGCGATGTTAGTGCTCCATACCGGATGTGCGGTTTACACAGCGCTCGGTTCGCAAAGCACTCTTCTCCCTGGACATCCTAGTTCTGCTACTCGATACTAGAGGGCGCTAATGGTAACCAGTGTTGCCATGTACAAGACATTAATAGTGGCGTGCAACAGGAATATAATCCGAATTTACGAAGCTCCGCTCAACCCCTTGGGTAAAATAGCGCGATGCTATGAATATTGTACTAGTATGACCGTGAGGCTGTACGGTTCGTAAAGTAAGGTTATACATTTATTTTGGCTGATAAATAGATACTTAGTTGGGTTCATAATGGTTTAAAGAGAATAATCTCAAGATTTTTTTGTCTTTAATGTACTGCAGTTTTATAATGTATGAAAATCTGTCTCTATATTTATCTAGGGTTGGATTTAGAATCGTTTGGCAAGAATATGGGGGAGTAAGGTGTTCTATTTGATAGAGGTTTGGTCCCCGATTATAATAATACCACTCACATTAAAAGGTAATGCACCGTTATCGAATAAACAAATAAAAACTATTTTAAACTAAAACGCGTAAAACATGGAAAAACGAATGCAATATTACTGTGAAAGCTGGATAGCACACAGAATTTTGTGTAAGTGCGACAAGCACGTAAGACCAGTGTCACATTATTCTACTGTCTTTACTCTCTGTCAAG